TGAGGGTTGCGATCCCGTTGCCGGTCCCGGTCCGGTACGGGCGCGACACTGAGGGTTGCGATCCGTTGCCGGTCATGAAAAAAGACAAAAAGGAAAAAAATAAAAAATAAATTTTGTGTGGGTGTATCCAGTCCCTTTTTATTTTTGATATTTTTGTATGCATTAATAGAATTATATAGAATTTTGGGTCATGTTGTATGCATATTTTTGGAATTCTGTTTAATTAGTGATGTACCTGTACCAGCTTTCTATGCCTTTTATTTTCAGGCTTTGTGTTATTTAGCGGGAACCGGTCTGTATGTGGGATCCGAACCCTCGGCGGGAGCGCCGCCGCACTCCCAAGCGGCGCACTGTAGCAGTGCGCCACTGGGCCGGCCCCCCTCTCAGAATTTTGAAGTCATTGTTTTTCAGTGTTATAGTCAAGAACTCCAAAGGCCTTCTATCTCCTTATTAGAATATGACCTGTTCTCTCCTGAAACTCATAGGCTTTTCTCTTTATATCCAGTGTTCTGAAATGTCCTCATGATTGATTTTTTTTTAATTCCTTTTTGCCTGGTAGGTTTAAGATTTTTCTTTTTTTGTTTGATTTTGTAAAATGTGAAAAATGAACAGAAATACAAATAAAAGCATATTAGGTTGCACTGTATGAAATAACCATTTTTTATGTCAACACAGTTGAATGTTGGCAATTTCAGTATGGTTCAACCTAATAATTATTAACCTATTATACCATCTATTAGTCAGTAGTTAACATTTCAGCATATTTCCTTGCATATATTATGTGTATATTCAAGGTTGTTGTAATTTTTTTGAGGGGGGGTGCAGCTGGCCAGTGTGGGGATCTGAACCCTTGACCTTGGTATTATAACACTGCCTTCTAACCAACTGAGCTAACTGGCCAGCCCCCTAAGGTTTTGTCTTTATATTACTCTCTCTCTCTCATGGATTTGCACTCTAGCATGCTGTTGCTCTTTCTTTTATGTCACCTAACTCAATGCTAAAATCCTCTTGACCATTAAAGCTGGTCTCCTCACCTTAGAAGTAACCAGTATTATAAATTTTGTGTGGGTGGGGCTGGCCCGGTGGTGCACTGCTACAGTGCGCCGCTTGGGAGTGCGGCGGCGCTCCTGCCGAGGGTTCGGATCCCACATACAGACTGGCTGCTCACTGGCTGAGCGAGGTGCGGGGGCAACACCGAGGGTTGCGATCCCGTTGCCGGTCCCGGTCCGGTACGGGCGCGACACTGAGGGTTGCGATCCGTTGCCGGTCATGAAAAAAGACAAAAAGGAAAAAAATAAAAAATAAATTTTGTGTGGGTGTATCCAGTCCCTTTTTATTTTTGATATTTTTGTATGCATTAATAGAATTATATAGAATTTTGGGTCATGTTGTATGCATATTTTTGGAATTCTGTTTAATTAGTGATGTACCTGTACCAGCTTTCTATGCCTTTTATTTTCAGGCTTTGTGTTATTTAAAGTTTGCCTTGGAAAAAGTATATTTAAAAAAAAAAAGAACCCTGAAGGTCTTAGTCTTTTATTTATTTTTATTTTTAATTTTTTTTAAAAAGATGACTGGTAAGGGGATCTCAACCCTTGGCTTGGTGTTGTCAGCACCATGCTCAGCCAGTGAGCAAACCGGCCATCCGTATATAGGATCCGAACCCGTGGCCTTGGTGTTATTAGCACCGCACTCTACCGAGTGAGCCATGGGCCAGCCTAGGTCTTAGTCTTTTAATAAACATTTATCCTATTTTAATTTATTTTGATTACTGATTTTCTTGATCTACTTTTCCCACTCTGCTGGTCTGTCAGAATATATTTCCATCCTTTTAAAGGTTTACCTTACTCCTTTTCAGTGCTTAACTAAATATATATTTTAAAGTTTAAAGTTATTAGGAATTTGTTTTCCTCCTAAACATGATACTTTCTCCCTGTCACAACTCCCAAGTTGCTGGCATCCAAAAATTAGTTACAGGTTATTATTTAACACCTCCTTTCCCCGTTCCATATTTGCTTATTTTACTATGTTTTGCTGATTTATTTGCTATTACTTTTTCTTTTTATGCATACAACTAATTCTTATTAGGTTTAATTTTCTTCTTTTTGGAGTACACCCTTTAATGGTAGTGATAATACCTAACACTTTTATGGCATTTATTACGTACCAGTCATCATTCTAGATAAGAGCTTGTCAACCTGTGGCCCTTGTCCAAATGGCCTGCTGCCTTGTTTTTATATGGCCCACAAGCTAAGAATTGTTTTTATATTTTTACTTATTTATTTGTTTGTTTGTTTGTTTGTTTATTGGTTGCTGGCCAGTTCAGGGATCTGAACCTGTGACCTTGGGCTGGTCAGCAAAGGCTGCACTCTAACCAACTGCACTAACTAGCCAGGCTGGTTTTTACATTTTTAAATGGCTGGGGGGGGGGGGAAAAAAAAGAATAATAATAGCACTTTGCATTGTGAAAATTACTTGAAATTCAGATTTTTGTTTTATTGGAACACAGCCATGCCCATTTGTTTACATATTGTTTATGCCTCCTTTTGTGATACGATGGCAGAGTTGATTAGTTTCAACAGAGACTACATACAACCTATGAAACACAAAATATTTACTACTTAGCCCTTTATATTTTCAATATTTTGAATATATTCCACTTTTTGGCTTCTGTTGTTTCTCTTGGAAAATAAGATGTCAGTTTTATTGTTGTGCCTTTGAAGGCAATACCTCTTTTTCCCTCTAGGGTTTTTATCATTTTTATTATGATGTGTGTAAGTGTGAGGGTTTTTTGTATTCTACTTGGGGTTAGTGGTGTTTCTTGGAACTATGGGATGATGTAAGAAGCCGTTTTGGAAAATTCTCAGCCATTATCTCCAGTATTGTTTCTACTGCATCTTTCCTCTCCTAGTGGGACTCCAACTGCAGGTATATGAGACCTTTTTACTTGTCCCCTGTGTTTTTTAGGCTCTCTGATGTATTTTCCATCCTTTGTTCCTTCTGTATTAGTCTGGATATTTTTTTCTGACATGTCTTCTGGCTCACTAATCATCTCTTCATTGTGTCTAATCTGCTGTTAAATTAAACTATTTTTAACTATCTTTTCTCTTGTTCTACTCTTTTCACTATTGCATCTGACTAGTCTTAAAAAATCTTTTTTACTATTTTTATAGCTTGGATGTGGTAAAGAGATCCTTACTTGTACCTGATATTTTGTTTTGTAATTAGAAGTCCATCTTATGCCTTTAAATATTCAAACCTTTAACTCTTTAATATTGTTGGATATCCCAAAATAATGCCTACAACAGCTTCATCACTGCACTGGTAACATCAGCTACTGAATGTTTATGTTTATGTGCTTGTCTCTCTATATACATCTTGAGACAAATAAGACAGTGCCATATTTATTCATATAGGAGAATATGAATGTTTTTAACTATTTACAAAAATATTTTTTGGAGACATGACAAAACAGTGAACAAGATGTACAGTGGTGTTATATGTAAATTTTCATGATGAATGACTCTTAACAACATGGTAAGAATAAGTTTTCATATATCCTTTTTATATCACCAAATGCTGATCATTTTAAAATGAATAACAATATGCCATTTCAGGGATCAGTTTCATTCACGGATGTGACTGTGGACTTCACCCAGGAGGAATGGGAGCAACTGGACCCCTCTCAGAGGATCCTATACATGGATGTGATGCTGGAGAATTATAGCAACTTACTTTCAGTGGGTAAGGACACCTTTCTGGTATAGCTCATTGTTTGCCTAGTAGCATTTAAGTCCTTTCTCAGTTACCAAAAATTATGAGTTTCTGAATTACTAAGTGGTTTTGGCCTCGATCTTCAGGTATTAAAGCTGTGAGATAATCCAGCCTCTGAAATTCTGTCTTCTATATTTTTAAGGTGTAATTTTCAAGTCGGAGCAATGAGAAGTGTTGTGGATAGCATAGTTAGAATTGCCAGTTCGGAACTTTGGATTTTGGGTTTTGGGGGGGGGGTTTTGGTGGCAGGCCAGTAGAGGGACTAAACCCTGGACCTTGGTGTTATCAGCCCCACACTGTAACCAACTGAAGTAGCCAGGCCAATTCAGAGCTTTGTAGGGGAGATAGCAAAGGAGAGAAGGAGAATCAGATAGAAGCCAGTGAAAGTAATATACCAGGGATTATAAATGGGTCGGAACCTTTGAAATATTTTTCAGGAATTTATTTTTCATATCTCTAAACCTTTAGAAATGGCTGAGGATAGATGACTTATACCTCAGTTCTCTGACTCACACCTCCAAGTATCAGTCTCTCTCCGCTTGACTTTTTTTCCTGTTTAACTTTATAGATACTTGCCCCTCACACTCGAGCCCTGATACTTTCCTAACATGTGATACTTGCCAACACAAAGGTCTTAAGACTTTGTGTTATGATTAGGTGCTCTTTTGTTAGTATTCTGTTTGCCAGAATAGTGAATTATGTATTTTAGCTCATGGGAATTGGTGTAGTGGGTTCAAGAAAGATACAGATCTTTCGGTACAAGAGTCCTGGACAAAATGTCAGTAGTATCACAAGAGTTGGGAATAATCATTAATACATTAGATGAAAGTAAAGGTTATTTATAGCCTAGATCAGGGTGCATAATTTGATCTTTAAGATCCGTTCAAATAAAAGCAGGGACAAGACTGGTTTCGGGGGAAAGTTAAATATTAAAAGAAGAAAAGTAGGATATGATAGTGAAAACATGTTCACTTTCCAACAACTTCAATAGAAAAGAAAACAGTAAAACCAGCAGCAGCAGTGAGTGATTCTGTTATGAGGTTCTTGGATTTATTTTATATTTTTTGCAGAATATACAAGTTCCTAGATGTTGCCATTCATTTGCAAAAGAGCCCTGCAGTAAGATTGTCTCTGCAAACCTGTGAGAAGTCCTGCTTTTAGGAAGTTGTTTTGCTATAGATGAGAAGAGTAGCAAAAAGGGAAAAGAGCCTAGAAGTGTATAGAATAGTGCTGGTCCCACCACAGTAATCTAGAGCCAAAGTGTTGGTTGGTAAACTCAGATCTTCCTAAGTATTTCCCCTTAACATCTTCATCTACTTATTTTCTTGGTCTCTGTGCTAACTGCTGTGTCATTGAGGACACCATGAATCTCCTTCCCTGGAATTGCCAGCCTTCCCACATCATTTCTCCTTTGTTTTTATTTCACATTCTCTACCCACTTTTTAAGGATATTTGTTATCTGGCAATGATACTTGTGTTCATTGTCATTTTCTACTTCTTTTTATGCCACAAGCTTTTATATTTTTGTCTTTTTCATTCAGAATTTTGAAAAGAATTCCATTGAAAAGAATGTGTGGGAGCAAACCCCACAAGGGCAAATGAGGAAAACGAGGGATGTGGGGGGAAAGAATGTATGTATACCAATTTTTGTAAAAAGAATTTTGGAGATAAGAAAAATTTACACTGGGGATTTTTTAGTATTGGGAGACTGGGTCCCAAACTCAGCAGTCAGTCCTATGCTAGAACATTTGTGGAGACTTCCCATTGTTACATTATAGTGAAGGTGTATTAGTTCATCTCTGAATACCTGGAACTGGGTATGTATAAAGAAATGAAATTTTTTTCAGTTTTGGAAGCTTGGAAGTCCAAAGTCCAGGGAACACATCTGGTGGGGGCCTTTTCCTGATGGTAACTCTATAGTGATGCAGGGAATCACATGGCAAAATGGCTAAAGCAAGAGAGTAATTCCTCGCTTACTCTCCTTATAAAGTCATCGTAACCATACCCATGACCATTGTTTTTTTTTTTTTTTTTCCTTTTTTTGTCTTTTTTTCGTGTCCGGCAACGGATCGCAACCCTCAGTGTCGCGCCCGTACCGGATCGGGACCGGCATCGGGATCGCAACCCTCGGCATTGCTCCCACACCTCGCTCAGCCAGTGAGCGGGAACCGGCCTGTATGTGGGATCCGAACCCTTGGCAGGAGCGCCACCGCACTCCCAAGCGGCGCACTATAGCAGTGCGCCACCGGGCCGGCCCAGACCATTGTTAAAACATCAAAGGACTAATCCATTCGGTAGGGCATAGTCCTCACAACCCAATCACCTCTTAAAGGTCCCACCTTTCAATTACCATCATAGGATTTCCCACCCTTTTAACACTGTCACAGTGGGTATTAAGTTTCTAATACATGGAACTTTGGAGGGCACATTTATCCATAACAGAAGGCATTGACAAAGTACATTTTATTGTGTTCTATCCTAGAAGTGTGGAAGGCTGATGATCAGATGGAGAGGGATCACAGAAACCCAGATGAGCAGGAGAGGCAATGTATGATCCTTAAGAACCAAACCTCAATTAACGAAAGAGGTAATGTCTTTGGAAAAACATTTACTATGAACACAGACTTTGTTTCTTTAAGACAAATATCCTACAAATATGACTTATATGAAAAAACTTTGAAATATAATTCAGACTTACTTAATAGTAATAGAGGCTATGCAAGAAAGAAAGCTGATGAATTCAATGGATTTGGAAAAGCACTTCTATACTTGAAGCAAGAGAAAACCCATCCTGGAGTAGAATATTCTGAATATAATAAAAGTGGAAAAGCCCTTAGTCATAAAGAAGCCATTTTTAAACATCAGAAAATTAAAAATTTGGTTCAACCTTTCATTTGTAATTACTGTGACAAGGCCTTCTCCTTTAAGTCACTCCTCATTAGTCATAAGAGAATACATACTGGAGAAAAACCCTATGAATGTAATGTATGTAAGAAAACCTTCTCCCATAAGGCAAACCTCATCAAACATCAGAGAATTCATACTGGGGAGAAACCCTTTGAATGTCCTGAATGTGGAAAAGCTTTCACCCACCAGTCAAACCTCATTGTACACCAGAGAGCACATATGGAAAAGAAGCCCTATGAATGCAGTGAATGTGGAAAGACATTTGCCCAGAAGTTTGAGCTCACTACGCACCAGAGAATTCATACAGGAGAGCGACCTTATGAGTGTAATGAATGTGCGAAAACCTTCTTCAAGAAATCAAACCTTATTATACATCAGAAAATTCACACAGGGGAGAAACGCTATGAGTGCACTGAATGTGGAAAATCCTTTATCCAGAACTCACAACTCATCATACATATGAGAACTCATACAGGAGAGAAACCCTATGAATGTACCGAATGTGGCAAAACTTTCAGCCAGAGGTCAACTCTGAGATTACATTTGCGGATTCATACAGGAGAAAAACCATATGAGTGTTCGGAATGTGGGAAGGCCTTCAGCAGGAAGTCCCGGCTCAGTGTCCATCAGAGAGTTCATATAGGGGATAAACCCTGAGACTGTAATCAGGTTGTACTGTGGAAAACCCTCCCATCAGAACCCATCTAATGGGAGAGAAACCTCATGAAGGTGCTGAAGGAACATGGGAATTCATACTGAGAAACAATCTCTCAACTCAAAAATGTATTTAAAAAAAAGTAGGATCTCGTAAGAACAATATTATACTGGAAGTTAAATATAATACCCAGCTAAAAAATACATATCAGAATATATCCAATTGTAAATAGATATACTAGTTGTATTACAATGAGCTTTTTAAAATCTTGAATGAATTGAATATTCTGGGCAGCAACATAAAGGATATACAGACAGTACCCTAGGAATTTTTAGTGGTTATATGTTGGCCACCAAACACAAATTATGTTTTAGATCTGCACATATGAATTTAGCATAATCACTGGGACTGTGAAATTCTTCTCTTCTTTGATAATTAGGACATATCAAACAGTTTTTCCTTACTAAACAACATGTGTGTTTTTCAGTACCTTTACAACCCAGTATGCATTCCAAATGAAATATGTAACAGATTTTAAGGTTACTTGTAACCTGTGTCTTCTACTGTTTGTTGGCTTATGTAAGTTGGTAGGACCATTGTTATTGAGCAGCCTCTTCACTAAACGAAGACAATGTTGTTGAAGTTCTACCTGCTTCTGGGTTTGCTGAATATTTTTTAGAAATATTATTTACATAAATATGCAAGTGAGATAAACAAGGAAATCAAGAAAGTGAAAGGCAGATTTGGGTTGTATTAATTAGTATGCACCACAGAATAAAACCGTGCTGTGTACAGAGACCATCATGCTCTTGTTATTTTTCAGTAGGGTATTTGCATACAAATGCATGTCTAGTACCAAAATATTGTGTAACCCAGACACCTCCTATATTTTTAATTGTGTGTTTCGCTATTTTAATATTTTATAAAATGTGTCACAAAAAAAAGTGGTAGGACACTTACGTAGTTCACAAATGTTAGTTACATTTCAGAGACTGTAGAGGAAAAACAATTTATTTTAATAAACTGTTAGGAACTGTTTCATTGCTTTTTCCATGTGCATAATCCACTTTAGACATGAATTTCTGCAGTATTCTCTTGTTTAAAGGAGGCATTTCTACTTCCTTGAGTTTCACTGTTGTCAACCTAAAGCATTTCCCTTTGGGACCTGACTTATTATAAATTATTATCTTTTCTTTCAGATATTCACAAATACTTTGAAAAGTTAGACTTTTCAGTAGTCTCTCCATATATTGTTTGATGATTAACATAAAAAGAACCTCTTTTGCATAACTCAAAGATATGCCATTGTAGACTTTATTTTGAAATCACAAGTTCACCTTTCCCTGTTAATCAGAAGTCATGCATTAGAATTATGGTGGTGCTGGCCAGTTTGCTCAGTTGGTTAGAGCATGGTGGTGTTAATAACACCAAGTTCCAGGGTTCAATCCCTGTACTGGCCAGCTGCCCAAAAAAAAGAGAATTATAAATGATGACCAAAATTGGCCTTTTTTTCTTTATTAGTTATTTCTGAAGGTCATTGATATGCTATGACTATATATGAATGTGAGTGACTTTCTGAACAGATTCACCAGAAAAACTATACCCAGTAAGTCTTTGTCTTTCTAGGTTGTCATCCTACCTACTAACAGCAAGGAAGCAGGGGAAAAAGTTAATTTCATACACTGCTGTTGGAAATGTTGTGACAGCCTCCTTGTAAAACATAGTGACTCTGTGTTTTAACATTAAGAATATATATACTTTTCATCCCAGGAGTCTCACTTCTGGGAATCTATCCCTAAGAAAAAATAAAGTGCCAGTATTTAAGATTTATATGTTTATTAATGTATATCATTGTATTTTTTTGGTAAGGACCAAAAAAGGAAAAAACGACCATCAGTAAGGGAATGGTTGAATAAGTTGTGGTATATACCATAGCTGAATGGTGTTCCATTGAAAAGAATGTGTGGGAGCAAACCCCACAAGGGCAAATGAGGAAAACGAGGGATGTGGGGGGAAAGAATGTATGTATACCAATTTTTGTAAAATAAAGATCTGAAAACCTTATATATTTGTATATTTGTTGTGTATTTGTATATGAGTTCATGGGCCTGGAGAATAGAATTCCTTCCATTGTAACCTCTGGAACTAATCAGCTGTATCAGTGAGGTTTCCAGTAGCAAACTGAATTAGCCCCATGTTCTTCACATGAGAGGACTACTTAGAGAGATGAGGGAAGGGGCAAGGGAACAAACAAGGGATGTTAAGGCATCCAAAGACCAGCAGCATCAGGAAGCTGTTGACTCCTTAGGCCTGAAGGGACAAAAGGAGGAAACTGTTTCAGGATCCTGTTGTGAGCCAAAGTCTTGGAAGAGGGTCTGCTAAGTGGATGCTGAAGTCCTAGAGAGACGCAGCTACTGTGAGAAACACAGAACCAACGGGAGGGGAGCAGTAAAGAAAATCCTCACCTCTTTTTGCTGCTCATCAGTCTCCTGCAGGTGCCTCCATCAACTGAACCCATCCAGAAGCCTGGGTGATGCAGTCCTCCTGGGATAAAGCAGGGTAGAGAAGGGTGGAGAGTGGACCCAGAGGGCAAACAGTACAATCAACACATCTCACATTTCAGCTTCTCGACCTGGCTGGTCCAACTGCAATGAGGCTTTCCTAGGAGGATCCTACTTCCCCTATAATCATCTTGAGTGATTTTATACCTATTTTGTCTTATGTCCCTTATGTACTTGGAGGCAGAATGACTTCGCAAAACCCAATTTCAGAGGAAATGTAAATTCGTGAGTTATTTCATGAATAGTATTCTAAGCCATAGAACTAAATGAGATTACTTAGAAAAAAATAATAATGAAGAATTTCAAGTATTGAACAGTCATTGTAATGTTTAGAGGAAATTGGAAAGATCAGCAAGGGGGACTGAGAAGGAACAACCAAAGTTAGGATGAAAACAAGGTGATGGAGTTTGGATGTACTGCCGTCCCAGAACTCATGTGGAAATTTGATCCACAGTGGGGCAGTTTGAGACATGGGGGCGGATCCCTTATGAATGGATTAATGCTCTCCCTTGGGGGGGGGGGATTAATGAGTGAGTTCTCACTCTATTAGTTCCTGCAAGAGCTGGTTGTTTAAAATATCCTGGCACCTCCTTTCTCTCTCTTGCTTCCTCTCGCCATGTGATCTGCTTGTACCTGCTGGCTCCCTGCCACTTTCCGCCATGAGTAGAAGCAGCCTGAGGCCTGTGCCAGATGCAGCTGTCCCAGAATCATAAGCCAAATAAACCTCTTTTCCTTATAAATTACCCAGTCTTAGGCATTCTGTTATAGCAACACAAAATGGACTAAAACACAAGGAGAGCATAGTACCCTGGAAGCCAAATCAGTATATTTCCAGATAGAGGGAGTGATCACAGTATCATACTAATATGTGAAGTTGGGTGTGCACTGAGATTGACTATCCATGAAGTCACTATTTAATAAGTTTTAAAGAAATAGGGTAAATCTAAGAGGATTCAAGATCAAATTGACAATATGAAGTGGTGATTAGTCTGTTTTTGTTGCTTCCAACAGAAATACCTGAAATTGGGTAATTTGTGAAGAAATAATATTTATTGCTTACAGTTTCGGAGGCTGGGAAGTCCAAAGTCCAGGGAACACATCTGGTAAGAGCCTTGTTGGTGGGTATTGACTCTTCACAGCAAAGCAGTGTGTCACATGGCAGAGGGCAGAAACAGAGAGATAGCTCCTCACTGGCTCTCCTTTTAAAGCCCTCAACCATGCCCCTGACCACCATTAAACCATCAATTGGATAAATCCATTTATGAGGGCATGGTCCTCACAAACTAATCACTTCTTCAAGGTCTTGCTTTTCAATTACCCTTATAGGAATTCTCACCCCCTTAACACTGTCACAGTGGAGGATAAGTTTTTAATAAAAGTGTTTTGGGGAACACAATTCAATCCAGAGCATGTGGATAAGGAGGACAGCATCAAGGATTTGAAAGGTTTGAGATTTTGCTCTACTTGCAAGGTAACAAGTTAACCTGCCACTGTTTCATGGATGCTGGCAGAAGACATACTGTATTGATCCAGGAAAATACCTATATTATTTATTACTAATAGCAATAGCCAGAGTATCATCATTGCTTATCCTAGTTTCTCAAGCCAAACTGATGTGATGGGGGCCTCATGATGCCTACACATGCAGTGGATTGTGTTACAGGAGAGGATCTCTGAGTTTAGGGAACCTGAATCTTACAATGGGCCGTAAGCAAACCTACCCAACTTTTGCAGTGAAAAGAGAGATCATTTTCATTATGCTGGATGCTAAACAAACCTCTCTGCTCTAGAGAAAGAACTGTCTTCAAGGCTGTTGACTATTCAGACATACTGAAAGATAATCTGGAACAAATGCCATCAGTGCCCATACTTGTAAGACAGGCAGAAAAGTAAGAAACCCATGAAGAATTGTCTCCCAACATAGAAATGGATAGCTGAAGAGGTGTGGGCTCAAGAGGATTTTGGTTTTTTAAATATACTAGAGATCCTAGAATCTATTTATAAATTCACAGGAATAACCAGTAGAGAGAAAAATTGATGCTGCAGCAGAGAAGGAGAATGGACATGAGCAAAGTCTGAGCAAGTAAGAGGACACTGGAACCCAGTATGCTAGAGAAGAGGTCAGACTTAGCATCAACCAGGAATAAGGCAGTGTTGGCAGAGATGATGTGAGAGCTTGTGAATGTTTTTGTCTGGTTGCCTTTATTTGCTCTGTTAAACAGGAAACAAGGTTATCAGCTGAGAGGATGGGGGAGGTGGCATGAGAGGTTTGGGGGTAGGGTAAATGAATTAAATGTAGCTTGAAATGTAGTATGGACGCATTAAAGGCCCTCTTGAAGTTAGTGGTCATGATTTTAACATAATGTCAGTTATCAGGGTTGTGTGTTTTTCTCCAGCCACATTCAGCTGAGTTGGATTTAGCCTAGATTGGTTGGTGTGCAGAGCATGAATAACTATAGTGATGAACCATAGAATTTAAGCTGGTTAGGATAAGAGTCAGAAATTGAAGGGGGAAAATCAGAAAGAGGGAATTCAGCAAGATGAGCAAGATGGCGGTATATCCCCAGTGCAACCCCCCAGCCCCGCAAAACATCAATTTGAAAAACTATCAATGCATGGAAATACCTTCAGAAGAGCTAAAGAAACCAGGTGAGAGATTACAGCACCTAGGTATAGAACAAAAATAAAAAATTTAAAAGATGCATTGAAGAGAGTAGGAAGGAAATTTTTACTTTTCCCTTATCGCCCTTGGCCCACTCTCAGGCACCATAGAGTGGAGAGAGATACCCTTCACTTGGAGGGAAGGAGAGGGAAGTAAACACTGGACTTCACCTTGGATGTCAACACCAGCCCACCCAGTGTCAGGCTGGATCCTGCAGGCCTAGACTCCAGGCCTGTGCAGCAGACTGGGTCTCCAGCCCACCTCACGACTAGGCCAACCTAAGTAGCCCATGGCCTGCCCTACCATCAGGCCAGGTCCACCTAGCCTCCAAAGACCCAGCCTCCAGGCTGGCCCTTGTGGATACAGGCTTATAGTGGATTGAATGTGCCCCCCCAAACTCATTGAAACTTGAATTATGTCCCCTGAGTTTTATGTATTAGAAATTTGACACCTGGAAAGGCACAAGATGGTGGAATAGACAGTCCCCAGTGTCACTCTCTCTCACAAATCATCTAAGTTACAATGATAAAAAAGCAACAACAGCCAAGCTGGGGCCTCTAGAGCTCAGGAGAAGAGTAGGAGAGACCTACAGAGTACATGAAGGTGGGAGAAGCCACAATAAGAGAAAGAAAGAACTGCTACGACCATTTCATGCCGCAGCGGCTTTAAGGCTGGAGCTGCTGAGCTCATGGAGCAGGAGCCAGCAAAAGCCGCAGCTATGCCCTTCAGATGGAGTTGATTGGAGACAGAAGGGGAGAAGAGGGCTTTGTTAAGGCTGGAGCTGCTGAGCGCATAGAGCAGGAGATGGCAGAAGCCACAGCTGTGCCCTTCAGATGGAGTTGCTTGGAGATGGCAAGGGAACAGAGGGCTTTGGTGGCCCCCAGGACAGCAAGACCACTAATAGGGTTCCTGTGGACCCACATAGAACCGAGGAGCCACAACAACTGAAAAAAGGAGCCACTCAGAGGCCAGTGAGTCATCGCAAGGGACTGGCACATGGCCTGTCCCATGGGAAGTATTTGCAGCATGGGCGGTGGGGGAGACGGGCCCAGCAGGGGAACACTGGGGTACATCAAAGACAGCTGATCTGCCCCCTAATGAGCATAGGACTACCCAGAGGAGACTGGTCAGGAACATAGAATTGCATGGGGTGTGTTTGATGAAAAGACTCAGGCCCAGATCAGAGTTTCTATACAACCCAGGTGCACAAGGGTCTCTGGAGAGCCAGAAG